CAACGTCGTCAAGCAAGTTCAGACAATTGCTAACAAGTCTCTGTCCGCAACTGAATCTGACTCAGGAACAGTACTCACTTTCCGAGACTTGTTTGACGGAATTTTCCAATTAAAATTCAAAGTAAGCACCTCACCAGAATAACTCTCACTCACTACAACTTCATTTCAGGAAGAGTGTTCTGAACTCCACGCTTTCCCATGGCATGGGAGTGCTGCTCTTGCCTGTTTCCTTCTTTACACCACAGTATCAAAGAATCCGAAGTTATCTAAACTTTTTCCGAAAGAGTTTGAGGATTTAATATATCTCCATAATCCTAATTGTTAGCGTTTTTAAAACTTTATCGCATGTGATATGCCAAGTTGCTCAAAGATTTGCCATTGTTATTGATTGTTAAACATTTTATTCATTTTTCTATTGTTATGTAAATAAAGATATATATTTAAGTTGTAAAAGAGATGCGTTTCAGCAGATATGTAGAAAGACAGAAAAGTTCTGGAACGGTCGAAAAGTGCGCCAGGAGTAAAGGATTTACAAGTTACGTTATCAACCTTGTTTACGTAATGTTCCCGGTTCTTTTTTGGTCATCGTAACTTTATATATAAATATATATTTATTGATTTTATTGATGTTACTTTTTTGCTGAGCATGGTAAGTTTTTTATTCAAATTACTTATTTTAATTATTCATCGCAGGAATCTTCTGATAAATTTATTTCTCTTAATGAACAAGAATATATTATTGGTAAACAAATAGAGTAAGCACAGATTTTCTTTTTAATTTCCCTACGTTTATCATTCGTTAATAGAGTATGGTATGGAGATATATTGTCTAAAGTTGGGGAAGCCGATAAGACCTTCATTTATGCCAAGAATGAGCGATCTGGTCAAATGGGCACAGTCCACAACTCTCTTTTATATCCTGTGGTAAGCTAGAATATTAGGTTCTAATATAGTTCTATAGATTGATCGTAATGAAAATGATGCTCTTCCTTATTTCCATCCATACTTGCTTCCTAAAGCATTGGACGCTTTGAAATCGGGTAAGACTTTATATGCTAATTACATTTAGTTTTGAAGTTGTGCATTCCGCGCACTGTTGTGTTTATAATCATGTCTTTGCGCTATTAATGATATTGTTCAGGTGGCAAGGGAACGTTCCTGATAAAATCATCATCAACTGAAGAAACAGGGTATTTCGTGTTGTTACTTAACATTGGAAGTTGCCAAATACAGCAATTTTTAATAAAAGCTGAGCCATATGGATATGTACTATGCGGAAGACGTTTTCCATCTATCGGTCATATTATCGATAAGTTTATATTTACGAAAAGAAATCTTATTTTCTAATGGTTTTTGAAGCTATTGTAACCTAGGATTATACAGGGGGGTTAGTCTTTCACGTGGAGTTCTTTATTCTGGTAGATATTTGCCACTCTCCCACAGTTCGAGTTGTTACTCTTTCAGTAGTTCAGGTATTTTTGAAGTCTCGTCACCTTAATCAGCATGTTTCCAGATATGAAAACTATCTCCCTTGATTATCAAAATGTGGCAAGTGTAGAAATTCTGTGGAAATGTAATTAGGTTCAAATGATCACTCATATGTCTTTCACTTGCAGATATACGATCTCATATATGGAAAAAAGGCCGTTTGTTAGTGTGGAAATTACATAGCGACACGGAAACACTGTTCGAGATAAAAGTAAGCTTCCACTTGTGTCCTCGAAGATTATTTTTAAATAGGCCGTAAAAAACTTTGTCTTCAAGTCATCGAAGTCTTGCATATATCCAGTAGACGATGCTATATTTGGTCGTTATACTTCCGCATTTGTAAAGAACTGCGACACTGGAATATTCTTGAATTTCAAAACTATTTTTGATTTTGTTTACTGTATCTGTACTTTTCGGTTTGATCGAGTTGCTTGATCTTGATACAGCCGAATATTTTAAGGTTTTCTAGTCCCTTAGCTCGAACTGCATTACATGTCTCGCTTCTTTCCTTAAAGGTTAATAAGTTCAGGTGAGGAATTTGATTATCAGAGAAGTCGTACATTTCTTGCTTTTACAGATCAAATGATTTGAAAACAAATTTACTATACTCTGCACATTGCTGTGTTGATAATGTTCAGGTATTCTAGTGAAATCTATGATAAAGAACAATCTTTTTTCAGTTATGGTCTTCGCAACCAATTCCTCCAATGATCACTGGACGAAAAACTAAAGGAAAAGTCGTTTTCGACGAATCTGTTTTAATACCGTAGTTTCCTGTTCCGTAACTGTATCGGAAAAATTATCATTTCAGATTTATGCCTGATTTTCAAACCATCGAGTTATCTGTGCTCTCGCATTCTAATTATACGAAAGAAGGTTTTGTGTTTCAATACTAATATCATTAACTTCTCTATCAGGACAAGTTTTCCGTGCTTTCTCTTTGAATGAATCATATGAAGTTATTGAAGACAGAAACGAAATGCTCGATTACCATTTACAAGTTCATCGAGTGCCAGTGTTGGAAT